TTACAAACTGGTCTGTGCACAGCCCTGCCAACTGCCAGCCCTGCATCTGCCCAGAGACCTACGCTGTCACTCTACCACCATCCACTACATTCCAGCAACAGACCACCACCGCCTTTGGAGATAAGGAGCAGCCTAGAAGATGCCTGAGTCGGCTACACCTCCTTGGACGTTGATTTGGACATCTCACCAACCCCTGAAGGGGCCAGTCTTTCAACCTGGTTAGTTCATTTCCAGAGTCCTCCCTTCTCCCACCAGATTGCTGCTGGAGTCTACTGTGCCTGGCAGCCAAATTGTTGACATTTCTTTTCTCCTTTGTGCCAGTTCTGCATAGCTGTCATTTTCCTTTAAAAATTGCAGTAGTCCCACAGATGTGTGCATTTGGACAAAAATACTAAAAACAAAGCAAACAAAACAGGCACTCGGCCCAGCTTTCAAAACTACCTGGAAAAAGCACTTGCGTTCTCAATAAATATCAAGCACTACAGAAAAAAACCATGAGTGTCTTTTAATGGTTAAGGGATATCACTGGCCTCTATCACTCTGCCCTGACTTCCGTTATTCCCATTGAGATTAGGGAACCTAGTTGAATCCCATTATTCCCACTTTCATCTCTAGGTTGTAGAGGACAGGTAACAGGACTTTATAGGAATTCTCGTGCTCCCTTGGCCAAGGCATTTCTTACTGGTGAGGGGAGTGGCCTCTGGGGCCTCCAGGATGGCATGGGTAAAGGGTAGCTGAGCGCGTAGCACACCATCCCAAATTGGGACACTTGAGAGTGAAAGGGGGCATTATTAATAATTAGACTAGGACAACAGGCATAAATCTGGACACATACAATATTTCTACCTTCCCAAGCCTTTAATTTCCTTCCTCAACACTGCTAGGGAAATTCTGCCCATTAATCATTGTTGCTTGTGGGGTGCTGTTGACTTTAGGCTTTAATTAACAATGGAGCACTTTATTTTAATGCCCCTTTGAGGTGCTTGAGCTAACATTAAATTATGCATCCTGGGGTAAATGGACCCATAATAAATAGAGCCTGATCTTAACAATTCATCTTTCTTGGGCTGACACACTTAGAATCCTCACCTACACATGTGCCCCAGATTCCTGCCTATGAAAATTGGCAAGATGCTGGGCTGTCTCCTGAACTTGACCTTACACTGCTGAGCTATCCTGAAATCTTGTGGGCCTGGGGGACTTAGAGACATTGAGGGAGTCCAGTGGGTGCTAAGGAGAATCTGCATATTCTTGAGTGGTCATTATCCCAGGTTAAGTCAACTAAAATTTAAATCAGAGACCCTTGGTTGAGGGGTGTGGGGAGTACCTCTGCCAGCCAGGAACTTGTAGGAGGATTTGAGGAGTTCCGAGTTCTCATTCTCACCCATATCTGCCCAAATGTCAGTGTACCATACTTGACCTCTAGTGAATTGAGATAATAAATTTCCTTATTGTTTAAGGCCTTTGGGGGATGGATATTTTTTTTATTTGTATTGGTAAACCTCACTATGGATTAAATGAAATACTTGTCATCCTACTGATCATACCCATGACATATTTAGAACTGTCCCTGCTACACAGAGAGCACTCAGTAAACATTGGCTGTTACTTCCAGGCCTGGGAACCAAAATTTCACTTGGAAGCAGGCCTCTTGCTATGAGCCTGGCTTTAGTTGCTATGAACACGGGCAGAGCAGGCACAGGGAGAGTGGAAATGAGTATGTGGCCTCATTTACTCTTTGGGATCTGTCATGAAGTCACAGAGAAGCCACTGTACTTGGTGAACAGGCAAAGTCCAGGGCAGTTACTTCTTGGGCTTAGAAAAGTTGTTTCTGGAGGGTATGACTTAGAAAAGGAGGCTGAGGCCCCAGCTGGGGATTCATGTGGGAAAGTGGGCAACAGCTAAAAGCTAGGTAAAGGGCCCAGTGAGACCAAAAATCAATCACTCAAAAATTATCAGTGGTCCAGGTATATTAAGAGGAGTTAGAGAAATGAGGGTAAATGAAAGGTGGCGATAAATGAAAGGAGGCTAAACTCTTCATAGTGAGTCTAGTTGTTTCTCTGGTGCCTTGCACTGGAACTGGGAAGATATGTAGCTATAGGCAAGGTCCAGAAAGATAATCTAGACTGTGATTAGATCTGGGAGTGACCTTTCTGGGGTGGAAGTTGAAGACCAGTAGATGAGATTTACTCCCCACCATCAAACAAAGTGAGCACAAGCTCTGTAGGGGAAGGAAGGGATCTCTGGTGAGTGAGGATACCATGCCAAGGCAGCATCTGAATAGACATGGAACCAGGCCAAGGAACTTCTGAGATGGAAAGGTGCTTGTTCTTGAGTGTGTGTGTGTGTGTGTGTGTGTGTGTGTGTGTGTGTGTGTTTGTGTAGGGGGATCAGGTATCTTGGAAGAGCAGGTTATGCTATGAGCTACAGAGAATGATAATGGGAGAATCTGGCTACCTTGGGGGAAGATTCTGCAGATATTGGCAAAGGCTCTACCACATAGGAAGGAATTCATGACAGTGCCATAAGGCAAAATACAAGAGAACAGAGAAGTAAATCAGCATGTTTAAAGGTAAAAGTACCACTTAGATGGAAACTATTAAGAGTGTGTGAAAATGTTGAAATATCAAGTGCAAACTTCAAACTCCTGAGTTCTCATCTTAGGCTTTAATGGTCATTGAAATTATGCTATTAATGGAATGAAATTAATCATAATAAAGATTATAATCACTTAATCATATTAAATCTACCAGTGTATCTTTGGATTTTTCTAATCATTTGAATAGGTCAGCACTGCTACCCATTCTGTATTGCTGTTTTGCAGGATGGTAAATAAAGCTAGAAATACATTATGCTCATTGTGTTTGATTATTTTCTGCTATTACAACGTAGTGAAAATTTCAGCGATCGAAAAGTAGGCAGACTAGAGAAAAAGTTATTGTTAAACTTATTGTTATTTTTTAACAAATGAACCTAAACATTTTTCTAGGTTCTTAAAGCAATTAAAACAAAGATAAATAAAGGGTTATTTATATGAAGTCCTGAGAATGTTTTCCTCAATGGATCATTAGGGTGGGATAATTGTATAAAGCATATTTATTATTTGCTTTGAAATACGAATTTTGCTATAGTAGTGTTTAAAAGTGGTAGTTTGTGTCCTAGAGTAGTCCAAGTGTATTATCCCCTATAATCTTATGTTCATTTAGTTCTAAAGGTAGATACAGTGAACTATTACCTATTTGGTGTCCTTCCACAGTGTTGGTAACTACCTACTTCCTTTAAAGAAAATCTGATCACCACCCCCCTTGTATTTTTATCTTCCTGTCTGAAATGCATCTATTAGGATTTGTTCCTTTATCTTCAAATGTTCTATTGTCCAGAGGCATATTTTTAAGCAATGTAATTGGCCTGGGAGAGGTAATAGCTTGCTTGAAGTAATTATGAGTAGCATAGCAAGATTTGTTAAGGGAGCAGAAAGCCTCTGCTGGTTGAGTTGGGGGAATTGTGAGACACTGCCAAGGGGGCGTTCAGAATAGCAATGTTTGTGCACCTCCCTTTCTCTCCTCAGGGCCTGCTATCTGATATAATCAATAAGAATTTCATTTTTCTTATTATGGTATCTACAAGATTTGCATTCTTCCTCCTCCTTCCTCCCTAAATGGCAAATGATTTCATCAACGAAATTGCATTAATATTTTTCTGTTATGTTAGCCAAAGTCCCCAGTTAGTTTAACTGAATTTCCAGTCAGTTCAGAGTAATTCAGTCAATTCAAGATTTAGAAAAAAACAACAACAAAAAAACACTGTTACATGACTATTTATATACCTCATTTTAAATCTTTAGTTTTAAAACAAATATTATTGGTAAAAGAAAACAAAGCAAAGTATACTTCATTGGTAATTGAAGTAATTGTGATATTTTTTACTAGAGGCTTAGGTTGGTTGGCTGGGGGAGGGACTGTGGGAGGTTGGCTGCCAGCTCCGAGGAGGGAGCCAGCCCTCGCCCCGCGCCCCCCCCCCCCGGGAAAGGGGCCCTGTCCACTGACACACACCCCTGGTTCCCGTCCCAGCCCAGGGGTTGAAGACCCTGGGAGGGTCAGGAGAGGAGGTGATGGTGGCTGGACCAGGTGCAGAAGGAATGGATGCCAACACCACCCCTCCACCAGTGGTTCCCCTCCTCCCCCTCTCCTCCTTCCCTTGCCACAGCCTGCCACTGTGGTGGGCAGATGGCCCAAGGAAAGGGGGAGGAGGAGGCGGTTCCCTGCCTCCCTGTCTCCTTCCCTTGTTACTGAGCTGCCACTGTGGCCGGTGGGCAGCCCCCCGGGAAGGGAGAGGACAGAAGTGAGACAAACCCTTGTGTAGAGGGATGACTTTCAATAGATCACAGCAAGGGAGCTGCTCTGCTACCAATGAAACCCTGACTCAGAAGCCTGTCATCTACAAATGGTTTAGCACCAGGGGCCGATGGGGGCTGGCCAACCAGAGGGAGGGACTGGCCGGCAGGGAGGGGGCTGCAGGAGGTTGGCCAGCCATGGGAGATTCGCTGTGGGAGCATACTGACCACCAGGGGGCAGCTCCTGCATTGAGTGTCCCTTCATAGACCTATCCCTGGAATAAAATCTTGCTGACATTTTTGCCTAATTTATATATTTTCTTATAATTGTTATGGAATATTTTAAATCAATCCCAGGTATATAAATTTACTCTTCGGTACTTTGGTATGTTTCTCTACCAGATAAAGGTTTAAAAACAATCCATAATGTTATCACATGAACTGAAATTAACAATGACTCCTTAATATTTAATACTCAATTTTATTCAAATATGCCAGTGTCTTAAAATATCTTTATTATTATTATTATTATTACTATTTTTAAATCCTCACCTGAGGATATTTTTCCATTGATTTTTAGAGAGAGTGGAAGAGAGAGAAAGACAGAAGGAAATATAGATGTGAAAGAAACACATCGATTGGTTTCATCCTGCATGAGCACTGACCAGGGCCTGGGTCGGGAAGGAGCTTGCAACCGAGGTATGTGCGCTTGCCCAGAATCGAACCTGAGACACTTTGGTCTGCAGGCCAATGCTCTATCACTTGAGCCAAACTGGCTTGGGCAAAAACAATGTCTTTTTAATTATCTGGTTGCATTATGTTTCAAAAAATGTCAACACATTTGGATTACATATATCTGAATTCTCTTTTAATTGATCATAATTCCTCTTAACCCTTATTTTCCCAGCAATTTATTTGTGGAGGAAACCAGGTCATTTGTCCTGTGTAATTTTATATTTCCTACTAGAGGCCCAGTGCATGAATTCGTGCATAGGTAGGATCCGGCCAGCCTGGCCCCAATTGGCAGATCAGTGCTGGGTCTGTCAGGAGGAGGAGACAGCAGGAGGTTGGCCAGCCGGCCCACCCCATCAGGGCTGGATCAGGGCCAGGCCAGCTGGGGGAGGGGCTGTGGGTGATTGGCTGGTGGGCCCCACCCCTGATTGGGGTGGGGGGGCTGACTGGGGGCCAGCAGCCTCGGGGAGGGGCCATGGGTGGTTGGCAAGCTGGCCCTTCCCCTGATCAGAGTCGGGGGCCGATAGGGGGTGGGGCTGGTTGAGGGGAGAGGCTTCAGGAGGTTTGCTGGCTGACCCTGCCCCCTATTGGCGTGCGGGCAATCAGGGGTAGGTTTGACCAGGGGGAGGGGCTGTGGGTTGATTGGTGATCAGGCTGGTTCGCAGGATGCAGTGGGTGTCATAGCAACCAGTCGTTCCAGTCATTCCAGCGTTCCAGTTGCTGGCTTTTTACTTGTACAGACATTCCTCGGGTTATGTGGTATGTCCTTTCGTGGTTACGTCGCCATCTCCCATTTATTTATAAAAAAAAAGTTCTGTCGTTTTGATGTATGTACATATGTGCTTTATGTTTTTTATTATTTATTTACTGCAAGTAAAGGTCAGGAATTGTAATCTTTCTTTTAAATATTTTTTACTGTTTCATTTCATTACTGCTGTGTATGTGCTCCATGTGAGTGACGTAGGTGCTTATGTAGATGGGTTCCGACTTATGGCGGAATCGCGTTACATTGTGCCATAGGAACAGATCTCCGATGTAGCCCAAGGACCTACTGTATATATATAGACTAGAGGCCCAGTGCACGAATTTATGCATGGGTGAAGTCCCTCTGGGTGGCCTGTGGGGATCGGGTCAAAACCCGCAGTCCAGCACCACCTGCAGCTCTTACCTGCCGCTCCTGCTCATCCCAGCCCCACTGCACCTGCTGCAGCCTGATGCCCAATCAGTCCCAATTGGAAGAGGCTCATGCCGTCACAGCAGCCCTCGCCAGCCATGAGTCCTGTGTCTGGCACGCTCCTGAGGGGAGTGACCTGCGCGATTGGGCTGAAACTGGCTCTCTGACATCCCCTGAGGGGTCCTCGATTGTGAGAGTGCACAGGCCAGGCTGAAGTACCCCACCAGTGCACGATAGGGGCTGGGAAGGGATTGCGGGAGGACTCCAAGGCATGTCCAGCCCCATCTCACCAGTCCTGATTGGCTAGACCCCAGCAGCAAACTAACCTACTGGTAAGAGCGTCTGTCCCTTGGTGGTCAGTGCATGTTATAGTGACAGGTGGACCGGTCAACTGTCTGCCCCCTGGTGGTCAGTGCACATCATAGCAAGCAATTGAGTGGCCTTAGCATTCATTAGCATATTATGCTTTGATTGGTTGAACAGTTGACCAGTCACCAGATGACTGGACACTTAGCATATTAGGCTTTTATTATATAGGATATTTGCTTTATTCTCATATCCTTGCCCAAATTTCTCTTGGGTTGTTGATGTTTCTTTTTAATTTTTTTTAGAAGTGCTTTATTTATTAGGGATCTGTAACAATTTAAATATTTATATGCATTTTTTCATTTGCCTTTTCATTCTTTAATGATATTTTAGGCAATTGTGAAAATATTTAATTTATTTCCATTTCCCAGTATCTCCTCACATTTCTGTTTTCCCCAATTTATTTGCTTTCATTCTTTTAGTGTTTATACACTTAAATACTGTATAAACTCAATTTTACTCTACTATTTTTTAGATATGAATAATTTATTTTGACTCTCAACCATAAAAGATGAAGAACTCAACATGCACAGTAATACTTTTCCCTATCAACTTTGTAAGTTACATTGTTTCTATGTTGCAGTTTTATAACATTTATGGTTTCCTGTGAGCATACTCCCAATGTGTTTTATTCTTAATACATCAGATAAATGGATTAAATTATTACTATCTTATCCATTTTTTATTTAATTTATTTTTGTTAGCTATTTTTCTTTCTATTTTAGTTGTTTCTTCCAAGCACACACACACACACACACACACACACACACACCTAGAAACTGAATGCTTTGAGTTTTTGAAGGTGAGTTCATGGGTCACATTTTCTTTTCTTTCATTGCTCCATTAACTTTTAGTGTTGAATGTTATTTTTTAGAAGTCTGAGGCCATTCTAATATTTTTTCACTCTTAATTTATTTTATATATTATTGAGTTCTGGATACTTTTAAAATTTTGAATAGGATATATCTAAGTGTTATTCTTTCTTTGTCACTTTTTTTGTAGATTCAAGACCTGACTTATTTATGCAAAGATTTCTTAATCATTTCTTTAAATATAAATAATATAGTTCAACCGGCATGGCTCAGTGGTTGAGTGTCTACCTATGAACCAGATCACGGTTCAATTCCTGGTCAGGGCATATGCCTAGGTTATGTGTTCAATCCCCAGTGTGGGGCATGCAGGAGGCAGCTGGTCAATGATTCTCTATCATCATTGATGTTTCTATCTCTCTCTCCCTTTCCCGTCCTCGCTGAAATAAATAAAAATATTTTTAAAATAAATATGAATAATATATACTGATGTTTATGTTGAATGATCTTTACTTCCCTTCTAGACTTTAAATTTTCTCCAGCTTTTAAATGTTTTCTTCATTTCCAATTTATTCTGCTCACTTTTATCAATCCCACTCTCTATATCCTTTACAAAGGATTCAGGAGTAATTGCCATGCTTAGTGCTGCTTCCAATTTGACTGTATTTCTGTGATAGTTTTGTTTTCCTTTCACTTCTTGGCTGAGTGCTGCCAGCTCAGGTTTTAGCTTCTATTGATTCCTGCATATTTCTAAATCACATATATCTGATTTGTTCTCTTGCTGTATAGCTATGATTCCTTTATATTTTTAAGTTGATGGGTAATGTGATATGTTATGATATTATCGTGATATAAGTCACATCTGTTTCCTGGCAGTATTTTTCTAAGGAAATGTTATTTGCAATTTTTGCCCTGTTCCTTCTCTCCTTTGAGTGTTCTAGGGACTATTCAGTATCTTGTCTACTTCCTAGTAATGTTACTTTTTCTCAGTTAAGAGAAGCTAAACTCAACCTTCTTTGTCCCTTTTAGTCCAGTTCCAACACCATTTCTCTGGCAGAAATAACTCAATGTTCATCACTTGTACATTGCATGCTTCCCGTTTTCCAGAGATAAGAAAGACGTGACCCCTGACCCCATATTTTAACATTTCTTGGGTAATTTCAATAACATTCTCATATTTTCATTGTACCTGAATGTACCTAGATCAGCGATTTTCATCTCATGGCACACATAAACTAATTACCAAAATTCTGCAGCACACACAAAATATATATTTTTGCCAATCTGACAAAAATAGGTATAATTTTGATTCATTCACACTGGAAAGCTATTGTTGTGTTAGCTGTTGTCATATTTTATTTGACAATCTAAGGGAAGAGAGGTCAGTGCCCCTAACTAAATATCAGGTATTGTATGCTTTAAATGTTCTTTCAGCATACCAATGTGCTGCAGCATACTGGTTGAAAATCACTGACCTAGATGATACCTAACATTGTTTTCAGAGTTGACATTCTGTACTTTCTGTTCTCACCCCTGCTGCTCAGTACTTCTGATGTCTAAATCACTTGAAATAGTCTGTTCCTAGGAAGTGTCAAGTTAACTTTTGAGAGAGATTGAATAAGACTCATCTCTGGAGGTGGGAGAACCTCTCTCTCTTTGTCTCTTAAGTTTCAAAATTAAGGTCAATTTTGCTATCAGTTTTTTGGAACAACTTTTTATCCCCCATGTAGTAAGAAAGAAAATGGAAGGGTTTTAGTCATCTGTGGAGAACAGAAGCTGCATATGGCAGAAATCTGATCAATACGTATATGGAAAAAAGAAATCTGTTCTTCATTGGAATAAAAAGTGAGGAGAGTGAAATTAATGTCAGAAAATGAACCTTAGATGAGATAAATAAGTATATATGGAAAAATCCGTTTCCTGTGAATTGAGAATGGATTATTTGGATTGTTATTTACACAATGTTTGAGTTCAATGAGAATAACTTTGATAACTGTTGTGGCTTTTCCATAGATTTACTTTGCAAACCCCAGACTGCTACTTGACTTCTCTGACTATAAAATTCTGTATCTATATGATGGGGGTAATTATATCTCAGGACTAATAATTTAAAAAAAAAACTACCTAGTGCATTATCGGGTAATCAATAAATGTTAGCATTATTATTTTCTTCAATAGATATTATTTAACAAAATAATAATGTAAGACTAACTGTCATAGTAGACATGTGTTCTGGTAGAAAGACACTGATATTGGGGGATTTGCAGTGTTGGAAGAAAATATTTTCAACACATTAATATAAACACAGTAATATCAGAGGGAAATTCACTAGGGTTCATATTAAGAACATGTGAACAGCATTTGACACTTTAAAAGTCACTTTTGTATTCATTTTTTTTATTTGAAACTCATACCAACTCAATGGAGTATTTTTATTTACATTTTAAACAATATTTTCCAAATATACTATTAATTTATATGCAAAATTTATTTTTCAGTTCTGACGGTTTCAATTTATAATTGTAGTGAATTCAGGTAGTGGCAATTCTTCTCTTTTCCTCTCCTTAGTGACAATGCTTCTAATGTTTTCTTATTCACATATATATAAACACATAGATGTACATTTGTGTATTGTATGTTTACATGATGTTATTTTATATCATAGTATTAAATTTTGTACAGCCTGTTTCCCCCTTAGATTTATTAAAATGGCGAATAAATGAATTTTCTCATATTAAACCATCCCTGCATTTCTGAAATAAATCCCATTTTGTCATAATATATTTTTGCTTTTAATGTGTGACTTGAATCTGCTTGCTAATATAATTCAAAATTTTCATTGGTAGTCATGAGATTGGCCTGCAATTTTCCTGTTTGTGTTTTTATTAGGTTTATGTATCAATAATATGCCTCTTTCATTAATAAAATGAGTTTTCCTTTTACCAGGTCCTGGAAAAAATTAACTAGCAGAAGATTAAGTCATATCCAGTTTCAATTTAAAATCTATGTGAACAAGATAATCACTGCAAGGTTAGTACATCAGAATTCTCCAGTGAAAAATAGTATATGCTATTTGAAAGTAATTTGTTTATTAAATAGTTTATAAGAAGTTTAATAATAGTTCATTATAGTTAATATTTGAATAGTTAATAGTTCAATAAAATGTTTAATAATTACTTTTATATTATATAATTTGATCTTCAATTTTATGAATCTATTATTATACCCATTTTATGGATAAGTAAACTTAGGTTCAAGAATTATTGAGTAGCTTGCCTAAGCCACACACTAGTAAGCAGCAATAGAAGAACTCAAACTTAGATCTACTGTTTTCACAAACTCTGTTTATTCCATACTGCTTTCATGAAATCTAGTTCACTGTCTTATGCCAACAGTTAGCTAAATAGTGACACTACCAGTTCTCACTACAAGTAGTATCCATGGTGATAGAAGGCAGCAATATGTGTATGTCTGTTTGGATAATCATTTTCTCTCTCTCTCTCTCTCTCTCTCTCTCTCTCTCTCTCTCTCTTTCATACACACACACACACACACACACACACACACACACACATCCTTCAGAGGAAATCATGGGGAAATATTACTTTGAACCATAAATTCATAATATTCAAATAACCTCTTAGCATACATAAATATGATTTGGAGAACATAATTTCATTCATAGCAAATCCTCAGTTTATTCATCTGCCTAATGAAGTAATTAGATTGGCTCTAAGTCATCAGCCATTCTGAAGACAGCCTATTAAAAGGAAAAACCAGACAGGAAAGTATGGCTCAGTTGACTGATCATCATCCCATATACCAAGAGGTTGCAGGTTCAGTTCCTTGTTAGGACACATGCCCAGGTTGGGGGCTCAATCCTCACTAGGGGGCATGCAGGAAGCAGCTGGTTGATATTTCTCTCTCATCTATGTTTCTATATCTTTCTATACCTCTCCCTTCTTCTCTCTCTAAAATTAATAAAAATATAGTTTAAAAAATAAATACAAAACAAAACAAAACAAATAAAAGTTGAAATGAATAAAAATTTCAAATAACTGTAAGAACAGATTTTAAATGATGCCAGATGCTTTCTACAATGCATTAAAATTCCAGAAACAACATAATGCATAATCTCTTGTACAGTAATGTGACAACTTACATTAAAGTAACCAGGAATGGGAAAATGTAAGTGTAAACTAATATAACAATGTTATAATATAATAA